TAGTCCTGCACCCAAAGGAGACATAGAGACTTTGGATAGCCTATTTGGCCAGTTTTTATAGTTTTTAGGGCAGCAGCTATTAGACACCATGTGATTGGCAGAACAGTGTGACTTTTAAACTGTTTGGTCTTTAGGAAATGAGGTGGCAAGAACTTCCCTTGTCTGTAGGTGGCAAGGGTTGGTCTGTCCTGTGGAATGTGTCTATGTGCTCCGGGCCTTCCCCACCTGCTGGTTGGTTCCCTGCCCTGTGGTATGAGGAATGTTAATCGCCTAGCCAGCAAGTGTCTCATGACCTTTCCAAAGTTCTAGAGCTGACCAGGAATATTAGCCCCTCCCTTTGGGAGGTGGGAGCAAGTGTTCCAAAGTTCCTGAGCTGACTTTTTTATGGTAGTGCTATATCACATGTCTCATCAAGACCCTGGATCATGCCACTAGTCCAGGCTGATTTTCTTTGGTGAAAGACTCAGTACAACAGCTTATTGAAATCACACAAACCCTTCTGAAAGTTCTAGTCAAATCCATGGGCAAGCGTTGTGGTTTGAATAAGAATGATCCCAAAGGTCCTCTCATCCACCCAATTCTCTGCTTTCTTCCTGTTTAGAGGCAGCTCTGGTCCTATTCTCCTTGATAAATCCCTTGTGTGAGTTTTGGTGCATGGCATGACTTCATGATACTCCTTAGCTCCCAATTGCCAAGATGCCCTTGTGCTCAAAAACTCTAACATAGTCTCCCTGGGTTATTATTTCTTTGTCTTTAACATCTAAATGGAAACCAAAATACGCTATTTCATTTACAACCTGAGACTATGTTTAATGGAGTACTTTTTCTTACCTCTAATTTATTTCACTGATAAAAGAAAAATATTTATGAATTTATAAAGCAAAGATAACAAAATTGAAAATTGAAAAGAAACTTAAGACATTTTCTCAGCATAGTTGCAATTGGAGAGGGGCCACACTCATGAATTTGATGCAGTCGAAACAAAAGGGTTTCGATGTTTCCAAAAGTTCATGGCTGAACATCATCTATATTTGCTAATCATGTTTCCCTAAAGGCAATATAGGCTTTTCTCTTCGTGGATGGTTCCTTTGTCTTACAAAATTGTATGGAAAATATTCTTGTTATAGACCATCAAGAAACTTAAAAAAGACTCATATCTCAAAGAGAAAGAGGAACAACACACCATCATGAATCTTCTAAAACAAATGTCCTCAATAAATGCTCTTGGTATAGTGTGCAGCTGTTTACTTAGAGATTAAAACCTCCCATTTTAAAACAATTAAGAAAAAATGAGGCCATGAAATTAAAAGAGAGGAATGAGGATCATACAGGAGGCTAAGGAGGGAAGAAAGGAAACAGGGGAGATATAATTATAATTTCTAAATATTAAAAAAAAAACCCAAAACTTTTATTTTACACAGAAGCTAGGTACAAGGTAGAAAAAAGAAGGTGAAAGAACAGGATGCTCTAAGTCAGGAAATGAACTATTTCACCAGTAGTGTAACCAGGAAGCCTACGTAAGGGGTTTTCCAGCACAAAAACAAGCAACTCAATAACTGCAGGAAGTCACTGAAACTGAGCAAATTCACTAGACTCACCTTCATTCCCAAGCATGTATGAGCAATATGACGCCTTGGTGATACTTGAAAATGAGCTGCCTGGAAATACAAGAGAAAATGTATGTGTCCAGAAGAAGCTCAGACCAACTAAGGTACATGGGGAGAACACTTACTAAGCTGTTGAGCTTCTTGCAGGTTGAGTACTACACAAAAGTTTCCAGCTTTTGTGAAGTGTCATCCACACTGGAATAGCTTTCTTTAAATAAATCTGTAAATAATTCCTCACACATAGTCCTGTAAGTAATCTCAAAATACTCATTGAAAAACAAGTATGACTTTGGTGTTATCTGTATAATTTGGTCTCTTGTCATCTTGTCTGAGGTGAATCGAGTTTGTTGCTTCCACAGAAATACTGACAATAATAGCCAAGACCTGCAATTAGCAAGTAATTTAGGAATTCATACGCTATCTTAGATTATATTTTATTTTTGTTCTATCTATTTTCATTTTATTTCATTTTCTGTGGTTAAGTACCATCTCTTCTCTTCCCCACTATTATGATTAATCATGGAAAACCTTTTAGGATTTCAAGGAAAATGATTTTCTACTAGTTACAAAGAGGTTTTTAAATTGTAAAATGTCTTCACAACCATGCAGTGAGATTTTTTTTAAATCATTGACGTTGACAACACAGCGATGATTTAACACAAGAGGAAGACATACTTTTGCCAAGAACTTGAGTTTAAAGAAACTGCAAACTTGTAAAGAAGCAGGTATGTAAATATTTCAAACTTAAAATTTATATATTTTAATGTAAGTAGGAACATCTTGAAACATGAAAGATGTTCTAAGGGAAATAACAAAAACCCAAGTTCTCATCCTAAACATACTATTGATGTTAGAATATGAAGGTTATACCTGAAGTCAAGTGTTTTACACTCATCTCGTTTTGAGACTATCAGTTAAAATCTTTGAAGTTAATACTGAAGTGTTCATAATAAATAAAACACAAGATTGCATATTTCTGAAATGACAAGCTTAGATGAATTTGCTTTCACAGCCCAGGAGCAGGAAGTCCTTACTGTCTTAATGTATTAGTCTTCATGAAAACTTGTTTGTTTCTATAGCTCTGCATGTACATAGCATCTACTTATTAGGTGATAAATTTTCATGCTTATTTGAATAGTCAAGGCCATAATATATAATACTATGGCAGACATTTGTCGGTTGCAGTCTAGGGAAAATTGTAGACTTTATAAACAACCATGAAATATTCATGAATACCCATGTGACTAGGACTCATTCCCTAAGATAAGTTTGAAAATGACAAATTTTGAAGTTTGGAGTCCAAAACAATGGATTTCCAAACTTTATGCCATTTATCATTGTTAAAGCTAGGATTGAAATTCAGAATTTTTATGAGATGTTCCTTCACATTTGAACAGCAATCACAGTGTCTGTTGAGAGACACAAACATACAGTACAGAATTCTTCATTTTCAGGGACACACCTTTGAAGTCACCGGGCTGGCAGCTTCAAGCTGGAAGCCTAGATTCATTTATGTGAGTTTATGTTGTGTGAAAGAGCATAATATGCAGATATGAATTTGAACTAATTTGGAGGTACTTACTCATAGGAAATTTGGAAGTAAGTCATCACAAGAATAGTTAGGCACTGCATAGTTTCTTAGCTCTTTAGGCCACTATGTGCTATGGAGGGAGATGTAGTTTTGGAAAATGAAGTGAGGTATGAGGGATAGAGGGAGAGAGGGAGAGAGGGAGAGAGGGAAAGAGGGAAGGAGGGAGAAAAGGAGGGAAGGAGGCAAGGAGGGAAGGAAGGGAGGAGGGAGGAAACAGAAAATGACAGAATGCTGGTTGTTTGTCTGTATATTAGTGGGTTTAAGAAAGCATCATTTTAATCTTCTGCTCCATATTTTCCTCTTTATTTTTTCCTTTGTTTCTGAAGAAAAGTTTCTACCTCTGAGAATGTATGATTGTAAGTATGTATATGAGTATGATACATACATATATATATGTATATATATATATATGTATATGCATACACACAAGTATAAGAAAATCATTTCTTTTTTTTGTTTAACAACAAAAAACATTTATTGATTTACAAATTTTAAAATGGATCACTTAAAACTGGGACTATTTTAACCTTATTACTTTTAAATTAATTCTTTGAAAATGTACTTTATTTTTAAAGTGACAGAAATTACCCATGGAGCAATCCTTTTAACATGGATATATTAAGTGTTTTTTATATTATGTCAAACAATCTGCAAAGCAGAGCATAGAAGAGTGCAAAGCTTGTGTAGTGGTCTTTACATAAAAGTCTGAACACAGGCAGAAGCACTTAAGTTGTGAGCTTTGTAACAGTGGCCTTTATTATATGCATTAGAACATCTATGTCAAGAAGACAATGTGAAAACCATTGCTTATTACTAGCAAAATAAGTGGGACACATTTAAATAAAAGTAAAATTTAATTGTGAAAAATGTTTTGTAGAACTACTTGCTACAGCTTACATTTCAGTTGGCTTGACTTCATGTAAAAATTCAGCACAAAAGATTCAGTCTAAAGGATTTTTTTTTTACAACCTCCATACGCAAAAAGCATAGCTTAATGATTTACACAGTGCTCAGGCTTAATCCTTGGTCAGTAGGTTTCCAAGTTCGAGTACAGTCTTGCTGCCTCCAGGAACTCTACTAAGAACTAACATTTTCTTCACAGCATATCTTCCTATGGGGGAAAATTCATCAGAAGTATACCTGTGAGGGACTTTGTGAAAAGCTTAGGAAATTATAACAGAGTTCTGTAAAACTAAAATATAGCACAAAGTCAAATAAACTGATGGCAACCAAGTTAGTTTTCAAAGTAAAATCTATTAAAAAAATGGTAACATACATGTATGAGAAATACAAGAAATGATCACTCACTGTGGTTAGTCACAGATGCAAGAGATCCAAGCATCTGAGGGTTTGTGAGCACAGTAATTAAGAGTAAATAATATGCTAGTTCAAATTGTGCGCACAACTTTGACAAGCTGGCCAAGTACTACTATTTGGTAACTCTAAAATTTATACTATGCCTTCTCTTCCTTTAACATTTTTAGGTACAATTTATCTTTATGCATTAACAAATCTGGTCAAATTTGGTCAACAGAATTTTTGTGTTCTAGAGTATAAAAAGTTAATATTTAATAAAATGCAACATCAACTTATAAAAAAGAAAAACAAAGCAACATATTATATAATTATTTTATGGTTTCCCAGGTGATCTGAGACCACAGAAGGCATTTAAGAAAGACTGTCAGGTGAACAGCAAAGACAAACCCATGGGATGCATATTGTTTACAAATTTCACCTGCAGGAAAACGAGTTGCCTGGCTTAATTAATTTTAAAGCTAATTACAAAATTAGTTTTTCTTAATGGTCCAGATACCTTGCCAATTTTTCCAAACTCAACAGAATTTCCACCGATTTCCACATTCATTACATACAACAAATGTTGTCATTGGTTCATCAGCACTACGAGTTTGCACCTGTGTGTAAGTACAGTTCTTCTTTTTACATTTGCCACAAGTGAACAAGTCAGTCTGTGTCCCACCAGTCTTGGCCATCTGATGCTCCCTGATGGCTTCTTTGGTCAGATTTTTCCTCATCTCTTTGAGCTCATCACTAGCCATTTCCTCTGCTGTCATTCTCGCAAACAGGTCAGGAGGAATATTCCCACACAGCACACTTTTCCTTAAATTTGGATTCTTTGCATCTTTAAGATTTGATATCCTACTTCGTACTCTGTTTTTGTATTTCATGTCTGTATTCCTTATTTCTTGATATATAGCTTCCTCAATCTGAGATCCCAGTTCTTCCTCATCAGCTCCAATAGCAACATAATCATCTCCTGTCCGGAGAGCTGCAGCAAGCATCTCCCTACACTTCAACCGCACAGAATCAGAAGTGCTTGGTGCCCGAGGAAAAGATGAAACATAAGTATCTCGTGTATTTGTCTCATCCTTTCTGCTGCTTACCTTGCTGCTGGAACTTTCTTCTCTTGCTTCAGGGCTATTCTGTGATGAAATCGCAGGTTCTTTTTTCTTTTTTTCAGGGTCTTTATCAGTTGATGGTCCATCTAATAATTTTTTCCAGGATTTGATGAGAGATTTGTCTAGAGATGTGATTTCCTCATCTGTACTCTGCTTGCGAATAGCATTAACAGACATTCCAATTCTTGTAGACTGTAGCAATTCCAGGGTCATGGGAATATTCTTAAGCTCTTTCAGCAAATCCAATGCACCAGCCGCATTCTTTTCCTGCACCATTTTGTCCATCTTCTTGGCAATGCGAACCACCTCGTCCTCCATAGTTCCGGAAGGCCTCCTCTTGCCGGGCCACAGTGGACAGGAAGCGAGGAAGCTGCGCAGACGCTCGACGGCCTAGGCCTTCCATACAGACCTGGCCTGAGGTAGACCAAGAAAATAATTTCTTTTCACAGTGATTTTCACAGTGTTGAGGAGATCTAGCTGATAGAAACAATAATAAATCATAACTTCTCCAATTTTGCTTCCTTTGACTTCCCTCCTTTACTAAACTAAAGGAATTACACTGATGCCTTCAATATTCTTTAACCATACAATTCAGATACACTGGTCTTTTGGACAAACTATTCCTTTGTCCTAATTTTACTCACTGCCTATAGAATTTGCACATCTTTTCTGACTCACTTCCTCTCGTAGAACTCTATAGAATTTGTTTAACTTCAATCATGCCTGTCTCTACCTAATTTTTGTGACTTTCGAGAGTGCTTCTTCCTAACAAATTGCCCTCCTTGCTCTATGGCTAAAATCTTCAATTTCCTCTCCATTTTTTCCTGTTTTATTTCCATTGACACATTTTCTGAATATCCTACTTAATATTTTGGTTTATGCCTCTGTGTCCTCAGACTTTCATCTCAGTAATTACAATTCAACCTCTTATAATTTTTTTAGCAATTATCTTTCACTTATTTACCATCGTTATTATTTATTACATGAATCCATTGGTGAGTACATTGACCTGCATATTTTTCCTATAATGAAGCTTTCTTTGACTATTTTGCTGACCATTTGTCCTCAGAATATACTGTGGTTCCAATCACAACCATCACTCAATACATTGGTAACATGAACATGTAAGTGAGATAGCAAGTGAAGGATGGAACAGATTTTACTTGTCCTGTCCCAAGACTGAGACAAACTACTCTGTGTTACATAAAAGTAATATACCTGGAGAGTTTAAGGATGTTTGTTGGATGAAACAGATAATAAAACTTGAGTCCAAAAAATATAAGAAATATATGCTCAAATATATTGTATATCTTTTTCCTAGATGGCTGCATGTGACTTAGTTTCATATAATTTGAGAGCAACCAAATAGCAGCAATGCAAGTATCTTTTCAAACAGTAGCATATAAAATGTGCTGAAGAGGGATAATCAGTTTGGGGAACTGCTGTAATAACCTTTCAAAGGTCTTGATAGTGTAGGTTTGAAAAATGCAGACTTCAAGTATTACTGTGTTAGTGACTATTCACAACAACAAAGGCCTGAATAAACAACGTGAGAGAAGAAATGTTTAATTTCTCTCACATTTTTAGAGGCTTAAGTCAATGTTCGGGTGTTTATATACCCCTAAACTGTGATTCAGGGCATCAGGGTAGGGAATGTGTGACGGAGCACAATGGCTCGGCTCGTATTGAAAGAAGAGAACACAGAAAGACATATACTGTCCAGAAACAATTGTGCCATTCCAAGGTCAGAGATGTTTGCTCCCATCCATCATCAACCCTTTAGATACTATGACTTCCACATAGTTCCAGCAAACTAAGTATCTTTCAATAGACTAATACACTGATGAAATCATTGCTTTCATAATGCAATCACTTCCTGTTCTAGTTTGTTATATGTTGCTGTGATAAACATCATGACTCAAAAAAGCTTAAGGGAGGGAAGGGTTTATTTTAGTTTCTATGTTTCAGTCCAATGCAGAAGCTTAAAACAGAAGCTTCACACAGTCTCACTTGCTTTTGGGCTTACATGGTCCTGGATGAGGTAGTCCCTAAGTTTCTTTGAGTCACAAAATTTCTCAAAGCAACAGAAAGCAAGCTCAACAGTTTATAAAAGTCTGATCAGCTGGGAAACAAGCCTAAAATATTCATGATAATTGCCTATTTTTTAAAATTGCTATTGTGCTTCTTTTTTGTCAGCCGTATTTTTGTGCATCTGGTATTTGAGATGTGTTAGAATATTTGGTTAGATAAAGAACATTCTTTTCCTGATATCTAATTAACCTATAATGTGTTTTTCAAAGAACTATTCAAATACAAATCATATGGTTGAGCACAACTGTAACTCAGCACATGGAAGGCTGAAACAGGAGGCTGAGGTTCAGGCAAACCAGACAACACAGTGAGACGTTGTGTCTAGAAAAGATTAGGTAGACCATTTGTATCAGATCATTGTTTTGTCATAAATAGAAAAAACAGTAGATTTCTTTATATTTGTTAAAGATATTCACATATATGGATATAACAACAATTAATGAAAAAATAGAGGCCATGGGATTGATGGAGAAAAGGACAGGCATAAGGGAGAGTTTAGAGATTGGACAGATGAAAGAGAAGAGAAAAATATTATAAGGTCTAAAAATGAAATAAATTATTTTTAAAGATTACACTTAGGCATTAAAGAGATCAATCACCAGTTTAGAGTACTTGTTCTTGCAAAGGGTCTGAGCTTGGTTTCCAGTACTCATGTAGTGAATCAAAGCCATACAACTCCAGTTTCAAGTCATCCAAAAACTCAGCCTTCCATCTATGGGCACTAGCACACTTGGAAGTACAAATAACTTATGTGGGCAAACACTCAAACACATAAAATTAAAAAATGTATGTAATATATACATATGATATTTATAAAATATTTTTTCCTTTTTAAAAATTCTTTAGTTTTTTTTTTTTTACAGTCCAGACTTTATCCCTTTCCCAGCCTACCCTCTGACTGTTCCACATCCCATACCTCTTTTTCCCAACCCATGTCTCCAAAAGGATATCCCCAGCCCCCTCTTCAGCTTCTTCCAGCTTTTCCCTAATTCAACTACAGGGTTCCCTGGCTTCTGTCTATTGGTTTGATGTGACTATCTGCATCTGACTCTTTTAGCTGTTTGTTGGGCCTTTTGGGGGGGGGCAGTCATACTAGGCCCCTGTTTGTAAGCACACCATAACATCAGTAACAGTGTTCGGCTGTGGGGCCTCTCCTTGAGCTGGATCCCAGTTTGGGTCTGTCACAGGACTTCCTTTTTCTCAGATTCTTCTCCATTTTTTTTTTTTTTTTTTTTACCAAACCCATTGGGTAGAGGAAAAATATCCAGTGACATTCCCTGCTTTCCCAAACATCTTTCTTCCAATGAAGTGGAGTTAAAGTTATTGTTAATTTATTATTCTCTCATACAACACATCCTAAACACAGCCTCCCCTCCCCCAACTCCTCCCTAATGCCTCTATTTCCCCATCTGCCCCAGATCTACTACTCCTCCATTTCTCTTCAAAAAAGATCAGGGCTCCCAAAATATCAATGAACACAATATAACAAGATGCAATAAAACTAGGCATAAACCTTCACATCAAAACTTGATAAGACCACATAGTAGAAGGAAAAGATACTCAGGAGTGTTTGAAAGAGTCAGAGACACTCCCACTCCCACTATTAGTTATCATACAAAACTCCAAGATAAACAGCCATAACATGTGTGCAGAGGACCTAGCACAGACTCACGTAGGCTCTATGACTGCCATTTGAGTCTCTGTGCGCTCCTTTGAGTCCTGCTTAGTTGATTCTGTGGTCCATGTTCTCCTTGTATCCTCAATACCTCTGAATTATAAAATCTTTATTCAATTTAATTTTAGATATCTACTTACTTATTTGAGTTAATGTTCTTATTGAAATAAACGGCACTGATAAGTCATAAGAAAATGAGTATAAATATTGATAACTTCTGCATAATACCAGTAACACACCAATAAATATAAATAATAGGCAAAAGTGGTTTCATATGAGAGAAGATGATGAAACCTTACCTTATGCTTGAACACTGATATTATAAAAACTAGTATGAATGGGTAAGACATAACTAAAGTAGCATGAACTATGATGACAGGCATTTGATCATGTATAAGGAGCTTTTCTTTTTGGATACTGGAGGTACTTATCTTTAGAAAGATGCAGGGCATACTGTAAGAGAATTGAGTTAGGCATTTTTCCCTTTATATATATGTGTGTGTGTGTGTGTGTGTATATATATATATATATATATATATATATATATATATATATATATATTTAAGCTCTTTGACTTAAAGTGACTACTTCAATTAAAGAACGGATGCACAAGTTACTAAATGCACACACACACACACATATATAGTAATTTGAAAAATGAAATTCAAATGACAATTTCTTTGTAGAAAGTTTAGAAATCATAACTTCTCAGCAATATGAAATGAAATGAAATCCAACTTTCAGTGAACATTTAACATTAAAACATCTTTAGTACATAATTTGAAGATATATTCAGTAGTCTAGGATTAAACACTAACATAGTCTCATTAAAATTGTTGACCAAGTTAATAAGCAAATATAAATTTGAAAATCATATTTTATTTGTAATAAAATATTTGTGTTCTAACTTTTTGAATAATGTTTAAATTTGATATGCAAATCAAATGTATTTGATATATTGTAATATATTTTGTACTACTGAAATGAGTGATTTATATTTGAATTTCTATATCTACAAAATAACAATTGATAATCTCAAATTTTCCTCAAAAATATCTAATACTGAGTATTGAAATAATTACTATTGAAATAAATATACATTTTCCCCACAAATTTAGTAATATAGCCATTGTTGGGAGTTTCAAGGTTTTCATACATATCACTAGATTAACAATAATTTCAAGATTCTATCATGGTTTGGGAAGATTGACCAGAGGATGAAATTCTTACAAGGCAAGCCTGATGACCTGAGTTCAGATCCAAAGAATAGGTGCAAAAAGCTAGATGCATTAGCTTTTGTTAGTCCATTGATCAGTTAAGGCACAGTCAAGATATGGGAGTCACAGAAACTGGAAATCACCTAACATTTAAGTGTGTCCTCTGACTTTTGACTGTGGTCATTGTGTGCATGTATACCACACACACACACACACACACACACACACACACACACACACGAGAGAGAGAGAGAGAGAGAGAGAGAGAGAGAGAGAGAGAGAGAGAG